TCCTACCTATGCCCTTCACTATCAGTTTGACTTTGGGCAACTGGTTTAACATCTCTGAGTCTCAATTTTCTCATTTATAAAATGAGGATGATAAAATGCATACTTTTTAAAAAAGAGTACTTAGTGTCAGGTACTCTACAAGTATTATCTCATTTTATCCCCGCAACAGCTAGATACTATTATTATTCTATTTTATAGGTGTGAAAATAGAGGCTCAGAGCAATGGGCTGTCATGTGTCAGAAGTCACAAGGCTGGTAAGTGGTACATCCAGGAATGGACCCTGGGCATTCTGACTCCAGAGTTCTGCTTTTAACTATTAAGCAAAACTGCCAGATAAAGCTCTCCTGAGTATTAAATGAGCTGATGAGCTCAATAGTGCCTGGCACATTTTGATTCTTTCATAAATGGTAATTATCAAAATGAGAGTTGAGTGGAATCCAAATCCCAAGTCACGACAAATCTGGGGTTAATGTGAATTCTGTAGCAACATCCAGGGCCAAGTCTAAAGCTCAGGCATCCTCACTCTCAGAGAATCTGTAAACAGAAAGTTCTCAAAGAAAAATACAAGTTCCCTGGGGTGTCAGAGATCATTTATACAGAAACTGCCTTTTGCAGCATGGGAACAGATCAGAGAGTAGGAAAGCAACGAAGAACTGGAGAATGTCCTGGCCACATCGTCAGAGCTCCTTTGAAAGGGAGCATCCTGACTCCCAGCTCAATCTGTCCAACAGGAGAGAACAGAAAGCCGGGAGCTAAATGAGTGCCACACCTCTGGCGCATGGATTTTGCAGGATGCTAGGTAATGCTAGCATCATTTCTCCATTTCTCCATCATCCCCCACCCAATCCCCATCAGGTCCTAAACCTTGTCTCTTTTGTTCCCCACTCCACCACTGCTAAGAACTGTAAGCTGTCCAGTGTGTGCACTCAAACAACACTAGCTGAATGCATTACATGAAAAATGGTATGAAGATAAAGATATATTAGGGACCAGAATGGAAAATTGTCATACCTTTTTTAAAATAGAACACAGGACTTCAAAGAAACTTCAAAAATCTGATAAGGGCTTTAAACTGTCTGCACAGATTAAAGTTCAAACTCTCAGAACTGTTTTCCCTGGCATTTTTAACTCCTTAAAAATTTTAATAAAGTATGCATAAAATTTACCATTTTAACCATTTTAAATATACAACTCAGTGGCATTAAGTGCATTCACATGGCTGAACAACCATCACCACCATCCGTCCACCGAACTCTTTCATCATCCATCCACTAAACTCCTTCACCATCCCAAACTGAAATGTCACATCTATCAAACACTAACTCCCATTCCCTCCACATCCCAGACCCTGGGAACCATCATGCTACTTTCTGTCTCATGAATCTGACTCTGCTAGGCTCCGCTAATAAATGGAATCATACAATATTTGTCCTTTTATGTTCGGTTTATTTACTTAGCATAATGTCTTCAAGGTTCATCCATGTTGTAGCATGTCAGAATTTCATTTCTTAAGACTGAATACTATTCCGCTGTATGCTTTATACCACATTTTGCTTATCTGTTCATCCACTGATGGACATTTCAGTTGTTTCCAGCTTTGGCAGTTGTGAATAATACTAATATGAAAACGAATGTACAAATATCTGTTCAATTTCCTGCTTTCACTACATCTGGGAATATATATCCAGAAGTAGAGATGCTGGATCATGTAGTAACTATGTCTAATTTTTTGAGGAGCTATTCCTGGCATTTTTTTCTGTTATATTTTCAGAGTCAGTTCCTACTTATTTGAACAGTTTATTTTGCCTCTCCAGTGTTCTATCCCACATTTATCCTAAATGACCTCTCTTTTGCTGGTCACATCTTTCATTTACAACCAAGATTATTTAGAAACATGATCTTATGTTCTACAGTACTGATTTTTCCCAAAACAAAACATTAGAGCTGTTTGGAACAAACTGCCATTTCCCAAGTCATAAGGTACATTAGTTTAAAAGGTTAAGAATCCATGATTTTTTTTGGGAAAAAAAGCAGTCCTTCAAATCAGTACCAAGGTACCAGCTTGTTATGAAAGACAGTTCCTGACTTACAAACGTCTCACTTAGGAACATCCCTGACATGCAAAGAGCAGTGGAAACCAGGAGTCTGACTCCTCCTGGAAGTACCTGGAAGTCTCCACCTGCTGCCATGGGGATGGTGAGGATCTTGGACTTTCAGTGGTTAGCAGGGACAGGTAAAAAAACCCACCTCTTCTCCACTTTCACCTTCCTTCTTCCTTCTTGACACCAGAACTATGGCAGTGCCATCCTTGCTGTGGCTACCTGGCATCCCAGTGAGAGCTCCTGTTCTCACTGGAAGATTGAATCACTTTGGAAGCAGAAGAGTGTGTGCTGGAACACTGCACGATTTTGCATACAGAAGCAATGCTCTTTCACATCTAGTCAACAAGTTCTGCACATTCCATCTCCTAGCCACCTCAGAATCCATCTTTCCTCTTTGCCTTCTCTACCTGGGGTCAGAATCTCATCTGGGCCACTTCAATAGGCTCTGAACTAGTCTCCTCCACAGTGGGGATTTCTGGCCCATCCTGCACACTATGGAGATCTATCTCGCATCAGCTCAACATCATTATCATCACCAAAGACCTGAAATAACAATATTCAAGGGAGACCTTAACGGCCCCACACCTCTGCTGGGTGAAGCTTCAGGACAGCCAAGTCTTCTGACTTCTAGTCTGGTCCGCATTTTTTTTTTTTTTTGAGACAGAGTCTCGCTCATGTTGCCCAGGATGTAGTGCAATGGTGTGATCTTGGCTCACTGCAACCTCCACCTCCCGGGTTCAAGCGATTCTCCTGCCTCAGCCTCCCGAGTAGCTAGGATTACAGGCACCCGCCATTACACCTGGCTAATTTTTGTATTTTTAGTAGAGATAGGGTCTCGCCATATTGGCCACGCTGGTCTTGGACTCCTGACCTCAAGTGATCCGCCCTCCTCAGCCTCCCAAAGTGCTGGGATTACAGGCCGGCCTGGTCCGCACTTTTCTCATTGGTTGCCTTTTATGTCAACATGGCTCTCAGCTAAATGGGAGAATGAATATAACTGATACCATTTATATATGAAGGTCAGCAGTGGAGGGGAAGGATGTTAAAGGGAATAAACTGCACGTATGAAATCATCTCACCACCTTTAGTCACCTGGTCAACACTGGTGTAGTACCCATTTTCTTCTCTTCTTCTTCTCCCTTTTCCAGGATGGTGTTGAAAGTGTTGAAAGTGGAGCAGTCAGGGTACTTCCTTCTCAAATCATCACACTTCTTTCTTCTTTACTACACTTCCTAGCCACAATTTTCACCATTTAAGAGGAGGGGATTCTTCAAACCCTTTCCACAACTAAATCTTAGAATGCAATTGTGAAACTGCACTTGACTTTCCAGATATTTGAGGAAGCTTCCTGGTTCTTGCTTTATAATCATGGTCTACTACCCTCACCCTCCTTCCCTGAAATTTCCCTATCTAAAACAACAACAACAAAACCTGTTACAGATATTTTTGTAAGTAGCCTTAAATTCTTTTAAAAGTATTATTATGTTTTTTGTTTTTTGTTTGATAGAGACAGGGTCTATGTTGTCCAGGCTGGTCTCAAACTTCTGAGCTCAAGCGGTCCTCCCACCTCAGCCTCTCAAAGTGCTAGCATGACAAGCTGAGCCACCGTGCCCAGCCTTAAATTCTCTTTAAGACAAGGCAAAAGTATGTGTTAATCAAGTTAGAATTCAGGTGACCATTTGTCTCAGTTTGCCTAGGACAGTCCCAGTTTATGCCTATTCCCTTGTATAACTTTTAAAAGAGCTCCTCCTTTTACTCTCAAAAAAAAAAAAGGTCCAGTTTGGAGGATAAATTATATGCTGACCCTAGTTTAAAACACACTTTGATTTTCTAGCATAGTGCTTTCCAGGTGATATTATGCTTTTGCCCACATCATTGCATTTTATTTACATAACTACTCTGCGAAGCAGGAAGGGAAATACTTGATCTCTATTAAATAAAGGAGGTAATCAAGGCTTTGAGGGGTACAGTGGTGACTGAGGTCACACACTCAGGGCCAGAACCTAGGATTCCTGACTTTAAGTCTAAAACTGTTTCAGCTGTGGATCACTATGTGCAAATGCCTGAGGAAAGGCAAACTTCACTCTCCTTTGGTGATCTGCTTGGCATTGGACTTAGAAGTTTAGATACGTTCACCCTTGCCTAGAGACTGTTCTTCTACATATAAAGCAAGCAAAGAGATGGAAGAATTATTAGCTAAACAAAAAGAGGCTGTTAGTGAATCCCGGGCCAAATGACATATATCTTCTACCGGATCTAATTACATCAGATTACTTGAATCTTACATCTGGCCAATTAGGATATTTCCATTTAAGAAAAGAAAACCAACGATCAATAATGCACGCCTACTCTTGCAAAGAATGCAAAGAACATATAAATGGGTTCTGGTCAGACTTACAGATATATCTTCCTATAATTACACACTAATTCTTTCTTAAAAATATTTCCCAAACCAGCAAAATTCTACCCTCCTTGGTAAGCGGCAAAGAGACAACACGGGAAACAAAACAAAACCCTAGACCATTTAAAGAAAAGCATAGTGCTTTGTAAAATCTTCGGGGTATCCCAGAGGTGCTGAAAGCGTGGCTACATCAATAAATAAACGCCCACTCTTTGAGCCTCCTGAAAAGGTGGCCACATGACAGACAAGTTGGGAACCTAGCGCCCCTCCTTGTCTGTGCCATGACAGGTTCAGTGTGACTTGCTAAGGATGGCTCCAAGCAGCTGGGCCGTCCAGCCTGCCCGCAGCAGAGGGTTGGACGCCTTAGGGCCAGCTATGGGCACCACAGAACCACCAGGGAGGCGGCGGGTCTCCCCAGGTTAAGAGGCCAGCGGAGGACGCGCGCGGTCCACTTGGGGGAGGGTGCGGGAGGGCCGGGCGCGCATGCGCACGGGCGCCACGCCCGCCGGAAGAGCCGGCAGCCCGGGCGCTGCTTCTGGCGCCAGACTGCCCTGGCCGAGAGTAGGTCGCGAGCCCTGAGATGCGGCCTCAGGATAGCGCCGGGGCCGTGGAGCTCGAGGAGCCCGGGCTGCCGCTGACGGACGATGCTCCCCCGGGCGCCAGTGAGGAGCCGGCGGCCGCCGAGGCAGGGGGGGCGCCAGACAGCGGCAGGTGCTGGCTCTGCCTTTCCTCGCGGTGTTGCTCCCGCACCGAGCCGGGTGAGTGCGCGGTGTGGACCGGGCTGTAGTCTCGCTCCAGGGTCCCGAGCGGGCGCCGGCGGATTGGGGTTCCAGCAACCCGGGCACAGTGCCCACCGCGCCTCCGTCCCCACCCTGCCCGGGGCTCGGGAAACCCCTCGAGCTGTGAGCTGGGGGGGCTGCAAAGCGGTTCCCGGCGTCCCAGCCGGCGCCAAGACGGAAGAAACTTTCCGATTGCTTGCAGTCCTTTTGGGATTCCCAGGCTGTTGTTCCTGTATTAGTGCCGGGGCAGGGCTGTGGAGTCAGATTGCAGTTTGGCGTGCCCTCCCCGAGGTCTTAGGTGGGGGGTCAGCGAGAGAGGCCATCCTGCAGTGGGGCGAGGTTCCGAGGAAGCTGACCCTGAAAAGTGATCCCGGTGGTTGAGGGTTCTCTCCGAAAAGGAAGCTGAAAAGCATCGAGTCTAGAAAACATGTTCGTCCTAGAGTTTTAGAATCTTGGAAAGGCAGAGGTAAGTGGGACCACTCGTTTTTAACCTTTAGGGATACAAGAACTTTTTAGCGAACGATGCAGAACAAGGCGTATCTTGTTAAGAAGCTCACAGCCCCGTCCCCAAAGCCAGGGAACCCTCGTGAAGAACACTTTATGTTCAATCTCCGTCCTTCGACACATGAGAAAAGTGAGGCCCAGGAAGGTGAGGGCTTTGGGGTTTCTGTTTTGTCTCCTCCAAGATGTGGAATGTGGGGGTGAGAAGGGGGGCATGTCCAGGGAGCACCAGGGTTAGGATCCCAGCTTGCCATGTACCGGCCTAGGGCCCTTTCCACTGGCCACAAGTGCTTCTTCAAGCACATTCCTCTTAGAAGTCGACCATCTACCAGGAGCAGCTTCCTGCAAGAAGAAGGGAATTGGCAAATCTCCTTTTAGGACAGTTACACGGCCTGCACCACCTTGTCCTCTGAGTCACCTCCCCTAAGTGTGACCCTGGATTTCTGTTCCTCTCGTCTCACTGCACTTTCCCCTCCTCCCTTTGTGCGCTTTCCACAAGTTAGACAGACTCTAGGAAGACTATTCTTGCTCCATTTCTGTCCTAAAGGCAAACCGAAATGATCAGACTTGTGATCATTTATAAATGGGCTGGTGCCTCTAGAACAGGGGTTACGCCAGGCTGAATTGAACAGATAAGCAACCTTTGAAAAGGTCAGTTTCTCACCTGTCACCCTCTGGCTGAATGTCCTTCTGGTGGCATGCTGAATCAGTCCATGCCAACTCTTAGGAGTTTCCCGTTTTTGTGAATGGAAGAGGAATTGTCTACCCCCAGGCAGCTCATGGCAAGATGAGATACTTATGTGAGTCTATCTAAGAATCTTGTGGGTGTTTAACTTCAAAGAAAGTTTCTACCAGTAAGACTTATTGTAAGGTGACAAGATAGTATTTTGGAAAGAAAATTGACATAAAAACACTTTACTGTTGTCATTAAACTTTGTGACACCTCTTGTTCTAACTGCTTATCTCAACAAAGCTTTTTTCAAATTCTGGTTGGAACTGTTACCCATATGTCTTATATTCTTGGATGACCTTAACAGACAGCATACAGCTGTCCCAAGACATCTTACTTTCTTCAGGGACAGTGTGGGTCTTAGACTGAAGCAAGGAGAAGTAGTTTCTTAGGCCTGTGCCTCCTGTCCTCTGGAAGGAGTTAGTGATTGAGTGTAGCAGTGGTTCTCAAACCAGTGGAGTCTTTTAGAGTTACAGATATTCTGTTTCAGTGGGTCTGAGATGGGGTTTGAGCATTAATTTTTTTTTGGAGATAGGGTCTTACTCTGTCACCTAGGCTGTAGTGCAGTGGCATGATCACAGCTCACTGCAGCCTCGACCTCCCTGGCTTACTCGATCCTTTCATCTAAGCCTCCCAAGTAGCTGGAACCACAGGCACACACCACCACACCCGACTAATTTAAAAATATGTTTTGCATTGATAAGGGGGTTTCCCTGTGTTGCCCAGGCTGGTCTCAAACTTTCGGGCTCAAGAGATCCTCCCACCTTGTCCTCCCAACGTGCTGAGATTACAGTTATGAGCCACTGCACCTGGGAATTAAAATGTTAAGTGTTATTCAGGTGATTCTAATTCCCAACCAGGATTGCGAATCACCAGCTTAAAGCAGAGGATAGAAAAGCTGAGCAACTTTGCGGTTTTCTTCTAAGTGAGGAAATTATACCATGGCCACTTACCTAATTTGAATAATTTGAGTTACCAAATTATTATATATGCTTGCAGTGAGATATGAACAAGGAACATAAACAAATGCCTCTTTCAATTATGCTAGTCGTGCTCATCTCCATTGACAGGATTGAAATGATTCAGTAAGAGACTGAGGTTTGTCTGAGTGGAGCCAGTCCTCACCCTCATTAACAAATCATCAAATGCAGCGAAGCCTTCTAATGTCTGTCCCTTCCCAGTTGGAAAGCATGAGCCTTAAGTGTTTATAGGCAAGAAAATATATGTGTATGTGTTTTAAGGGAAAAGGTCACCAGGGCCAAGGGGGTGCAATTAATTTTTAAAGAGTTAAAATATTTAATGTTACGTGAAAATACTCCTGGGGAAAAAATAGCAAGTTTATGTTGGAGAAGATACTTGAAACATAGAGCAGGGAGATGTTTTCTGTCCTTGATCTTCTCGTTCTGCTCTGTTTGAGGGTGGAGTTTCTATGTAGGGGTTGAGTTTCTTTTAAAAAAACACTGTTTTACTTGGAACTGAATTCTGAAATTTCAGAGGTCAAACCCTAAGGCTGACCACAACCAAGGCATGTATTTTGTGGTACTTCATTTGGAAGTCTTCTAAAGCTTCCTTCTCATGGGCTGAGTGTGTACAGTTTATTTCTGCAGTATATGAGCACATGGATACAGAACAGAATGAGGATTCTGGCATCTTAAAGGAAGGACGACTGCTAGTTCCAAAACAGTATCTTCAGTTGTGCACCTAGAACAGGAAGAGATAGAGAATGGTGCCTTTGACCACGAGGCCTGGCTGTAGAATGCCCCAGAAAGCCTGTACATCAGCATACTTTGGTCCCAGTTTGCAAAGTCATCTCACTGACCTGAAGATGTGTAAATGTATTACCTGGTGTTTACATTTATCAGAGAAGGGCATTTTTAAATACATTACACAATACTGTTTTATAGCTATCACATTGTAAAGTCCTAGATTGGAATGATAACATGAGTTTTCCTACAAATTGCTCATATCCACTCACGCTTCAGTTCCATTGTGCTCTTAATCAATGAGGGCCACTTGTGTTTCCTTTTTTTTTTTTTTTTTTTTTTTTTTTGAGACGGAGTCTTGCTCTCTTGCCTGGACTGGAGTGCAGTGGTGCAAACTCAGCTCACTGCAAGCTCCGCCTCCCGGGTTCACGCCATTCTGCCTCAGCCTCCTGAGTAGCTGGGCGCCTGCCACCACGCCCGGCTAATTTTTTGTATTTTTAGTAGAGACAGGGTTTCACTGTGTTAGCCAGGATGGTCTTGATTTCCTGACCTTGGGATCTGCCCGCCTCGGCCTCCCAAAGTGCTGGGATTACAGGCGTGAGCCACCATGCCTGGCCTATGTTTCCTTCTTATCCTCAACCCTGTTTTTGTGTTAATTTCAAAAAAAGGATATATCCCGCAGTGTGTGGCCTTTGTGGGGATTCTTTGCCCACCCTGCTGCTTTTGCTCTCCTCTGAATGACAGAGGAGTAAGACTGAAAGCAGGTTCCACTCCTGTGTAGGAAACTAAGACATAGAAAGTGGCTAAACAAAAGTTTAAAGCTCACACAGATTGTCATTAATGACTGAATATTTGATGCCCTGGAGAAAGCACTGGTTTCCTGGTTCAGATCAAGCCAAGAGTAGGGATTAGATGGCAGTTCTGTATAAAGCACTTGGGATCCAAAGGGCTAGATAACCTGCACCCTCCCCTTGAGGAGTTTGTGCTCTGAATGGGAAGATCAGTTGTGAATCATGAAAAGTTATATATAGATTTGATTAACAGTTCAAAATAACAAAATGGAGAACCTTCCCAGACTATGCTATTGCCAATAGTGTTAGACTCTTGAGTTTTTCCCTAAAGTTCTCTCACCTTTCATTCACTGAATATTTATCCAGTGTCTTCCATGTGCCAGGCATGAACAAGACAGCAAGATCCCAGCCCTGGAAGAGCTCACAGACTTGGGGGAAGTCAAATAATCAACAGATAACTGTATAACCCAATTAGAACCCATTTTCCAGAAAAGAACACTTTCTTCATAAGGCCAGTTTCACCAGTGAGATGGCGTAAGATATCATTTGGAAGGATTTTTTACTTACCATCTTGACAAGTTTTTCTTAAAGATTTCTCTCACCATCTTGGCAAGCATTCTACTTCTTGACTTGTAAGTGAGGAATGATTCTTCAGTGAGCCATAGGAAATCCATTTGATAGGGTGAAATGACATTTTAAAAATGCAGGTTTAAATTGTTGTCCTCATCTATGGTTCTTCATAATTGATGATGAAAATGGTACAGGCCCAGAGAAATGATATGCTTAGGAGGTAATATAGCCTATTAACCTTTGACACAGCTCCATTTTTCCCAGTATCTAAGCGAAGAATGATAAAACATACACTTGGAAGCAAGGACTAACCAGAATTTAATCTTTTTCAGAAGCCAAGAAGAAAGCACCCTGTCCTGGACTTGGCTTGTTTTACACATTATTGTCTGCCTTCTGTTTCTCAGTGAGCTCTTTATTGGTTAAAAAAGTGCAAGACGTCCATGCTGTAGAGATTAGTGCATTTCGATGTGTGCTTCAAATGCTAATTGTTCTCCCTTGCTTAATATACAGAAAGTAAGTATTTTTTAACTGCAAAGTAGAAGATATTAATAAATGTGTGTGTATCTTTTCACCTGCCTATAATTACTCTACAGTATCTGCTTTATCCGTCTCATACACTTACCAGTTCCTATGCCCCTTGGTTCTGCTTAATGAAAAGTCATAAGCATCCACCCATAGAAGATTCTACCATAAGCATAAACCACATACCCAATAAAGTGGGGAGAAATAAATTTTGTTGTTCACCACCTCCCCTTTTGAAAACAGAGCTTTCTTTGTATAATTCCTCCTGTCTTGTATCACCCTCCCTTCTTTCCTTTGGCATAACTACTGTTTGGAAGAAAAAGATGAATGAAAAGAAGTAATAGTGTATCCTAGTGTCAGAAGTTTTTTTTTTAGAACAAGCTGCTTTCTTACCAGGGCAAATAAAATATTATAATAATAATATTTAGGTATTCCTCAAAAGGTGACGGGGTAACCCTGAGCAAGGTTACCTTCATATTCAGTTTCCTCTTTTGTAAACTGGAGGGAATGATACTGTGTGATCTCTGCCCTACAAGGTGATAACAAGGGTCCAATAAGATTTATTACAGGGCAGAGTGCCTTGTGTAGAACGTAACAGCATATGAAAATTGTCTCTATTCCGCCCTCTCTGTTCTCTCCCAACCCAATTCTTCTTTTCCTTCCCTGTTGTACTCCCCACCCTGCCTGGGTTAAAATTATGCTTCCTTCAACCATTGTAACCTCCATATACCTCAGTGTATTTAGAACCCTGAGAGAGAGACCAGTTGGGTCCTTGGTGGCTGCCTGGCTCTTTGTCTCTTTGGGCAAAAAAGCCTACACCCCAAATGAAAAGCTTTAGTCACTTGTCACCAAAGTCTGCTTGTATCTCTAACATGGTGCAGACTCGCTTAGAAGAGTTTCACTCCATATCCTAAGGATTTGGTGAGAAAAGTGAAAATCTGCTAATATCTGCAAATTTCTGTCAATGTAGACAAGTCACACTATTTTAAGAAATGATGGTAGGGCTTTAGAAATTTCTAAGGGTAGCAGCACAACACTGATGCCAACATAATTATCTTCCCCATTTTGAAATAAAGATATTGTCAGGGGAAGAACAGTGGAAAAATGTTGTTAAAATCCTTGGTCCTAATCTGTTTTGACCCATTTTATGTTTTATTATCATGGAAGACTCTTTGCTTCTCAAAGTATGGGCCAAATGTGACCGTGCTTTTATTTTAACTCCAAGATACCCGGGGTAGCCTAGATGATGATCTCATGAAGTGTAGCCCTGCAACAAGTCAGCAAGTTGCACCTAGACAGGAACCTACACAGAGTGGGTACTCAGTAAATATTTATTGAAAAGAATTTGAAGAGCAGTAAGCATGGTTTTCCAAACACTACATGTTCTTTTTCAGTGCGTTTTGACTCCTCATGAGAACGATGAAAACTTGTCTCATATTCAATGACTAAAATAAATTTTAGCAGTGTTTCAAGTTTTATAGAAAAATTCATGAGATTGAGAATCAGCATTAGCTGGGTCTAAGTTTCCTTAAACAGGGCAGCTGAATCTTGTCCTTGTATTTATTGTAAAAGTGGTATGTTTTCTTTATAGAAAATTTGGAGAAAACAAATATAAAGAAGGAAAATTACCTATGAGTTTATCTATTAAGAGATAAACATGATTAACATTTAGTTTATTTTCCTTTTTGTCCTTTTTGCAAGCATATATGTATACATATACATGGGATACATATCTATATTAATTGAATTACAATTTTACTATGTATGTAATTCACTTGCACTGGTATTGCTTTTACTGTGAATGCTTTACTGTCATTAACTATACTTAGAAAATACTATTTTAAAAGGTATATAATATTCATTTGTGGATATTATAATTAATTTACTATTCCTTTATTTTTTGATATTTAGTACTTTTAAAATAATGTTTAATTACAAATTGTAATTTAAAAACAAATGTTAATTTCACTTAATATGCATTTCTTCATTTGAATTTACAGAACTGGGTTTATAGGCCCAAAAAGTCATCGAATTTTCCTCATTCTCAGAGGAGTCCTTGGTTCTACCTCCATGATGCTTATATACTATGCTTTCCAGACAATGGCCCTCGCTGATGCCACAGTTATCACATTTAGCAGTCCAGTGTTTACGTCCATATTTGCTTGGATATGTCTCAAGGAAAAATATAGCCCTTGGGATGCTCTTTTCACCATGTTCACAATCGCTGGAGTGATCCTTATCGTGAGACCACCATTTTTGTTTGGTTCTTTGGGGATCGAAGAAAGCTATTCAGTCCACCTTAAGGGAACATTCGCAGCAATTGGACACGCCGTGTTTGCTGCATCGACTCTAGTTATCCTAAGAAAAATGGGAAAATCTGTGGACTACTTTCTGACCATTTGGTATTATGTAGTACTTGGCCTCGTTGAAACTGTCATCATCCTCTTTATATTAGGAGAGTGGAGTCTGCCTTACTGTGGGTTGGACAGGCTATTTCTCATATTCATTGCACTCTTTGGTTTGGGGGCTCAGATATTTATCACAAAAGCACTTCAAATAGAAAAAGCAGGGCCAGTAGCAATAATGAGGACAATGGATGTGGTCTTTGCTTTTATCTTTCAGATTATTTTCTTTAATAACGTGCCAACATGGTGGACAGTGGGTGGTGCTGTCTGCGTAGTAGCCAGTAATGTTGGAGCGGCCGTTCGTAAATGGTACCAAAGTTCCAAATGAAGCATCATTGCAGAAATACATATTTTTTTCAAGTACACCATCACCTAATTCACAGATAGCATATGCACACATCTGGAAAATCTGCATTTGCTTCGTTGGTTATATTTAATAAATTTCCTAAAGTACCATTTTGGAATATAGTATGTCTTTAATTAGTTAAGAATAGCTAGTCTGTTTGGCGTAACAATATTTTGGTAGCTTTGGTTTTGTTTTTTTGTTGTTGTTGGGGTCGAGTTGCTGAGAGGAGAGCTCACTGTTTGAAGAAAAACCAAAAAATTTTATGGCTAGTAATATTATATGTAATTTTTAAAATGTATTTTTGGTACTGATGGGATATGGGTGGGGAGGCCATTTTAGATATTCTTTTAGCAGTGTAGAGCCTAAGAAACTTGGTTCTACCACCATGATCTTTACATACTATGCCTTCCAGACAATTGATAATGCTGCTATAATTAGTATTATGTTGATAATTCATTTGCAACCTTATTCTATTTAGGAGGACGAAGTTGAAGCTTAGAATAGGTGCCTGCTTAATGGTGTTAATAATACAGATGAATTAGCCTTATTTTCAAGTATTTTATAAATGATTATCATACTTGTAACTCATATTTGTGCCTTTTCATTTTAATGCTGGAATTTTTATTATGTCACCTCTAAAACACTTAACTTGCCAAATTTGGCAAGTAGTTTTCTGTTTCAGTCGCATTAGCAACTGCAGCTAGCATTCTATAATTTTAATTGTCCTCAGTTTTTTTTGAAACTGCTCTAAATTTTTCTTAACATTCCAGGATTTCAGATCTTTAAATCACAAAGAGAAATCTTGGCATGACCAGTGTGCACATTTCCATCCTGAAGTGTTTTCTCTTCACTAGAAATGTGATTTTCTATAAATTCCCCTTGAATTTATAGTGTGATGCCAAATAAAATTTTCTCAGGATCTTATTAGGTTGAACCATATGTAATTGCCAAGATTTTACTATTTTAACTTAAAAAACCATAGTTTCATATGGTTCACCCTAATAGATACCTCCCTTATTCTCTAAATGAAATAGAAGACTTTGGAATATATGTTTTTAAAGTAATTTTTAAAAATATGATAATGTATTAAACTTATTTTTATAGTTATGAAATTATATGTAATAATGTTTTATGTTATACATTAAAGACTTGTGAATCTATGTTTGATTGACTTTCGTAGTTTCCTGCATTGAAATAAAAATCACTATAAATTCTAGTTTATCAGCATGATGTTAAATGTCAGTGCCATACCTTGATGCAGCACCATGACACTAATGCCACGAATTCAAACAGCACATTTTACATCTGGAACTTCATCAGACCAGTACTTTGCAGTTAGAGAGAATTTAATATCTAGAAAAGCTTGGGAGGTTAGTCAGGACTTAGGGAGTACACAAATGATTCTTTGTTGTAACGAACCCTTTATTGGTGAGGTTGCAGTAGCCTCCAGCTCTTACTGTGTCAGATGAAGCATCTGTCATTATCTTAAGCCCTCAGAGTTGAAAGGTTATAGGCTCTTTTGTACCCTCTCATCATCATTTTCCCAAAGCAAAGAGGAACTTGCCTTCTAGGATTCATGCCTTGGTGAGAAAGGATCTTTTCCAATAGTTAAATGGGGGAATTTTTGGCTTGCTGATTTTATCAATTGCCTTGACACCTGACAAATCCTAAATGAAGTCTATGTAGGTAAGTCATCTCTATTTCACCTAATTTACAGTGTTGGAATTTAGACTTGCAAAAACATCACTCTGCAAATACCTTAGATAATTATAGAATCAGGAGCATTTGAGAACTCAGAGGTCTCAGAAATCATCACATAGGGGCCATGCTCCATAGATAGGGATGATAGAGAGGAGACCTGCCCAAGTTGAATTTCCATGGTCTTCCTCCCTCCCTTAGTTCCATGATAAAGTATGGACCGTAAACCACTACTTGAGCCACCTAAGGTGAATTAACTCTCAGGGAACCCTCTTCCAGTTCTTTACCTTGCACAACGAAAGAACCAATGGCACCTAGAAAGTTAAATCCCTTTAGGCCCATACACTAGAGCATGTTTTATTTCAACAATGTGGTTTAAGTACTTGAATGTCACACTATGTGACTGAGGTTAGAGAAAATGTTTCTTCTAGCCCTTGCAGGTATGATTCTTAAACACAATGTCCAAGGTGTATACAAGGATATGTATTGTAACAACTATGGGTATGTATATTTTCAGAGTGTAGTTTCCGTATCTTGAAAAGTAAAATATTTTCATAAATTGTTTTTATAAGTACTAATAAAATAATATGAAAGAAAGCTATATGTTGGTTGTTATGATTATAGCAAACATATAAGTTATTTCCCTTTCAACCCTGTGCTTCAAAATTTATTTTCTATAGGAGATTGACCTCTAGCCATCCAGCTGGGATATAATCTCAAGGTTTAAACTGTTTATCTGACCCACTTGAACTATCAAGAGGGTCAGATGAACAGTGTAATCTGTTTATCTCTCCAAAATAAAGGCATTAATCTTCTGTGTCAGTGAGACCTTCATTCTTCTAGACCCTGAGAACTTATAAAGCAGCTTTGAACTCTGTACTTTTTGTTCCTGTAGCAAATCCGTTTCTAAATCCTGAAGTCTTTCTTGTCTTATTGTCTTCTTACTGTCTTATGGATTCATTCTTTCCTCACCATTTCCACTGCTACCATCTTAGTCCAAGACTTAACACCTTACACCTGAATTGCCACAACAGTACACTGGTTACCTGCTTCTAGACTCTTTCTTCTACTCTGATTTCTGTCTCAGTGCCAACTCAGTGTTCCTAAAACCCTGCTTTCACTCTTACTTTGGTTCTCATGAAACCACAGTGATGCCTTATTACACACCACATCACATCAAATTGCTCATCTGGCCCTATTCCCACTTCTCCCACCTGATTTCTACATCTCAACACAAATTGGATACTCCAGTCAGCCTTACCACTAGCTCCCATGTTTGCCAGTAGAGTCCTTCCTCTGCATTTCCCGCCTGTCCTTACCTTCTCTTATTTACCTTCTAAGGCCTGTTAGCCTCCAATGCCTCAGCTTGGGCTTTTGTTTCCTCTGGACTCTAGCTTTTCCTACCTACATAATCCGTCTTGGAAGAGTGAGTAAAGCATTGGATTAGGATCTGAATATCTAGTATGGTTTTATCACTTTTCAGCTGGGCAAATCACCTAATGCACCTGAGCCTGTTTTCCTCACTTGCCCAGTCCCTCTTGCAAACGAGTGCCATAGAAGGGCTTGTAGACCATTAAGAAGGATGAAAACATAAGTATTCAACTGTGGTTAAGAATGTAGAATTGAGTATTCACTCTCCTCTTCAAAATGAGGCTTATAAGAGAGTCCTTACTCCTGAGCAGCCTCACCAGGAACCATAGGAACATGCCTATCAGAATACAAACTCCATTTGGCCCCCTCCTGCTAGCACAGAATTGTGCTGCTGTTGGAAAGCTTTCACTTCCTAGCTGATCTTCCCAGGTAGGGCTGCCAAGGATCACCAGTCCTTTCATGCGCAAGTGTTGCCACCTTTCCAGTTCTGTCCCTAGCTCTGGTCTTATATGGGTATTATACTTGGCTCTGACCTAGGGAATGGGCCTGAATCTTGTGTGTTTCCTGTGCACTATGTACTCAGCATGCTTCTTTTAGCCTCTTATCTATTGCACCCAGTAAGCATAATTAGTCTCTTGAGGGCATTCTAGTAGGAAGAGAGCCAGATGTCCTTGATAGCACCCTGGTGTCTGATCTGGTGTGTATGGATCCATGGTCAATAATGGGCATTAGAATTTGGCTATATGGGTGAAGGCTGGATATACGAATCCTGGACACTACCCTAAGCATGCTGTTTTATGCCCCCTTTGGTGCCTTATATCAAATCTAATACAGCTACCATATTCACCTAGAATTCTGCAAGATAACCTATTAGGGACTCTGATCCACAAAGATGGATCCACGTTTTAGCCTATTTGAACATTAAGTTTGGAGCTGGACCTGGGAAAACAATTCACAGCCCATGAACCTTGGCACTTCTCATCTCCTGGAAATTGGGGGGTGGGTTTTATAGCAAGAGGGTAAGGAGAAGACATAGCTGTTTTCAAGGGAGGGCAGGAAATGTAGCAGAGATGCCCAGTACACAGGAAAAGGTTCCACCGGGCCCAGGAAATGTCACTACTAGAGAAAGGAGCCTGGGTCTCTTCTACTAAACTTTCATGGTTCTAGAAACCATGTGAGATTAATACCAGTAAGCCTGATGAAGCAAAGGAAGTAACCTAGATTCATGATTAGTTGCCAGGGTGGGATCAGGAAAGTATAAAACCATAGTTGAGCAGAAGTAGACTTGGGCAGGAGGAAATGTGTTCAGGTGAATGGTGCAGCACAAAAGTACCATGCCAGGGTTGGGAGCTCTGTGGTGCAGCAGAAGTAGATGGAAAGACCACGTCAGAGAAGTGCATTACTAACCAGAAGGCCTGTATCTGAGGATATAAGAACCCGGCCATTCTTACAGCTGTTCGAAGTATACTTGGCCATGATTTAAGATTAAGCTGTATGTGTCAAGAACACACCAGAAAGAGAGAAACTAATAATACAACTATCTTTGATTTTTTCTATGATTATAGCAGGTGCTAGCTCAATAATATTGGAATTGAATTCAAAGCAATAGCAGAATTCAGAATGGACTAACGTTTTCTTTCTTTTGATACTCCCCCTGGGAAATCAGCCACATTGCTGTGAGGAAGCCTGGGTTACATGGAAAAGCCCACATGGAGAGGCCCATGTGAAGAGGAACGGAGGCCCCAACACTTGGCCCCATCTGCACTACCAGCTGATAGCCAGCACGAGCCTGCCAGCCCTGTGAGTGTGCACGCTGGGAATGGATCCTCCAACTCTCAGGTGAGCCACCCCAGCTGATGCTGTGTGGAGCAGAGACAAGCCTTCCTCCCACCTCCTGAACTCTGCTCAAATTGCAGATTTGTGAGAAAAAGAAACCGGTTATTACTGCTTTAAGCCACCAAAAAATAAATAAAAATATAAACGATATAACTGTCTTGGATATGTGTGTACCACATTATACACAAGCACAATTACGTAAAGCAAAATGCCTCAAAAGAACAAAAATCAACAAAAGGTAGGACATTTTCATGGGCTTTTCTTAGCCTGTGACAGATAAAATTCGCAAAAATTAAATATATAGGGGATAAGAATAATAAAATAAAGTTGGTCTAAACCAATTGTTTTCAAAGTGTGGTTTGGATACCTCTGACAGTCCTCAGGACCCTTTCAAAGTGTTTTCAATGTCAAAACTATTTTAATAACAATACTAAGAACGTTATTAGTCTGTTTCACAATCATTCTCTCATAAGTATACAGTGGAGCTTTCCAGAGGCTATTGGACTTGAAATTGCAGCAGCTTGAATGCAAAAGCAGATAGGAGAATACAGCTATTATCTATCAAGCCAGGTTTGCAAAAATATAAAGCAATGCCACTCTTCTCACTAATTTTTTTTGAAAATAGTTATTTTTTATTAAAGTTATTTATATTAACATATAATTACATTATCTTTCAAGGCCAGCACAGTGGCTCACACCTGTAATCTCAGCATTTCGGGAGGCCAAGGTGGCCAGATTGCTTGAGTCCAGGAGTTTAAGGCTGCAGTGAGCTATGATTGCGCCACTGCACTCCAGCCTGCGTGACAGTACAGGATACAACAGGCGAACACACTTCTTGTTTATGTGCTTTAGTTCCTTCGTATGTACATTTTAGAAAAGTCAGAAGTCTTTGGTACTTTGCAGCATGTGTGCATTGGTACAACTTCTAGGAAGGGCAATTTGGCACCATCTATCAGATTTACTTATGTGCAAAATGATATGTACAAGATTATTCCAGCCTGATTTGTAATAGCAAGAAAACATGGAACTAGCCTGAATGTCCCTCATTAGAGTACTGGTTAAATAAGTCATGGTATATACCCAAAATAAAATATAATGCAATTAAAAATAAATTTAAGAAGAGCAAGGAAGCTTTCCATATATGGATGTGGAATAATGTCCAAAATTGTAAGTGAAAAAGCAAAATTCATATCATGGTTGAGTATGTGCTCATTTGTATAAAAAGAGGGTAAACAGAATATCCAGGAGGATATGCAAGAAACTGTTAACATTGGTTACCTTTGGCAGCTGAAGGGCAAGATGAGAGAAGACTTTCCACTGAATCCCCTTTTACACCTTTTGAATTTTGAACCGTTCAAAATTCTTAGTCAAAATAAAATAAATAACTTAGTCAAAATAACTTAGTCAAATAAAATAACTTAGTCAAAATAAAATAAAATAAAATTGGTGGAACAAAAATGAAAAGGTGACTTGATGGAAAAGAAAGGAGAAAGAAAAGGAGTAAAAGACATAGGAGCTACATATGTACATTACATCATACATACATACCTGCATATGTACATTACATCATACATACATACCTGCATATGTACATTACATCATACATACATACCTGCATATGTACATTACATCATACATACATACATACCTGCATAGAGAGATGTTTACTGCTGTAATCTGGGCTGTCACCCTGACTCACCTTACTGACTTCCTTTTGCTCCCTCCTCTTTTGCCTCATAGAGTCTGCAGACCATATTTAAATTCCCACATGCTCCACGATTGAAGAGAATACAAAAGATGAAACTGAAGTTCACCATTTTAATAGGACTATATTCTCCAAGATCCCAGAACGCATGTGTGACCCTGATTCAGATGTCTGCCTTCCTATGGCACCAAAACAATTTTTACTTGGAAAGGACACTAACATTTATTGAATAAACCTCATCTCAGCCAAGAGCTTCTTAATCTTTGTCTCGTTCCCTCACCAACCCTGGGAGATAGACTGATTGGGAACTGAAGTTCAAAGAGGTTGAATGGGGTTACCTACCTGTTAAATTCTAGTCCCCTCAGTAGTAAATGATGAGGCTGGGCCACGTGGTCTGCCTGACTCCAAAGACCTTGCCCTTTCCAGTACTTCATGCTGCCTCCATACTTGAGGGTGGTAGAATGCAGAACAGGGAGTCACTGTAGCATTTGTCACTGTGGTGGTGAAAGGACTGTTTTTTAGCTTTGGGATTTAGGGATACATATGTCCTCCTTCCTCCTTCCCCTCCTAGAGCAAGAGCTAGATGTGAAAGAATAGAAGGTGATGACAACACTGCATATATTTCAGTTTTATTTCTTCCAATCTACTAATCAACATTTGTTGGGAAGTAGCCATAAACAATCCTAGCCAATGCAAGGAAACACCAAATATTGTCAAGCCCTCACATTGGTCATAATTGGAAGCAAACATGACATATATGGACTATATAATCAGTTTGTGAGGGCTACAGCAAGATGTTGTCCAAGAGCCTAGGCATACGCTGGCTTCCTACAGCCTCCAAGCAGGAAAGAATGGAGCTATACACAGTCATCTGAATATACAGAAGTGAACCCTGGGTCAGCCACATTCAGCTATAACTTCCCCATACTGTTTCTACAGGTGCAATGTGCCAATCGGAAGAAAGGTGGCCAGCCTCAGGAGAAAGAAAAGGAGAGTGACTCTGGCAGGCCTGCTCCATTGTAGAGATGAGATACACCAAGAGAGTGAGTTCCCAACTTTTCTCCCAAAAGCACCCCAATAGCTGAGAAGAATCTGGAGGCATAGCTACCATCACAGCTATACTAATCACCATCCTTTACTGTGTCCTTCAGGTGTCTGTCCTAGCTAGTTTTGTGGTCTGGCTCCTTAAGTCCCTGAAACAAGTCTGTTTATTTTCATCATATTGATGAGGTTATAGAGCTTGGACAAATTACATGACTTTTCGAAGGTCACATAGCTAGTAAATGTCAAGTCTTATTCTCAAAACCCTGGTTTGTCCAACTCCAAGCCTGTGCTCCTGACTCCACTATTCTACTGCTCACCCTAAGCCTAAAGCCGCCCAATTCAACCTCAAATCTTCTTGGAGGCTTCATGCTTTAAAATAAAAATCCATGCAATTTTTTGCATCCTAATTAATAATATATCTGTGTGTTTTAGTGTAAAATTTTTTTTAAATTACCAATTCAGTTTTTTAGCTTTTTATTCCCCAAATCTCGGGTACCCTAGGCAGATGTGTCATATTTATCCTGGGCTTTATGCACCTCTGGTTTGAGGGACTCTTGAACTTCATTTTAAGAAACATGGCCTAATGAATACACAGTCAGGTCTTCATGCCCCTGAACACTACATTATAAAATCAGCACTCCTTGTTCTTTGTATATTTGTGTTATCAAGTAACTAGGTGATTATAATCTGGCTTCTCATATACCATAAGCGTAGAAGGGAATCAAAAGATTGAGTACCTGATTCCCTAAACTGTTAAATTTCCCCTTGTATATTAATAAAATTTGTATTGCTTCACAAATAAGACTCTATGTTTTTGGTTATTGTTGCTCTTCCTAGAGAGATAGAATGTATTCCCAGCTTCCCTCACCCCCTTTCTTCTGAAATAATATCCCTGTATTAGAGTAATTATGCTGGCTGCTATAACAGACAACACCCCAAATCTCAGTCTTAAAAAATAAAGCTTTATATCTCGATTCCCTCACAGTCTGATGTAAGTTGCAAGGTCTCTACAGTATCCCTCCCTTAAGTGGTGATTAGGCTCCAGACTCGCTCCAGACTCGCTCCAGACTCCTTCCCTCTGATGATCCTGACTTCTCATGCCGGTAGCCTGCAAGTTTACCAAGATTTTACATCAACAGTCTTGACAGAGAACATCGTTTCTACCCAAATGCCATTGACTTTACCCTAACTTAAAAGGAGAGTAGGAAATAAGATTTTCCTTTGTGCTCAGGAAGAGGAAAAGAACAATAGCAACAGAATTTTATGAACCTGAAGCAGTGTTTCTGCCATAACCCCTTCCTTTGGGGAACTGTTGAAATCTAAGTCCCTAGTTTTGGTGGAGCTGGCAATTCAGAATCCTACCCCCAGTGGCCTAGGAAGTGGGCAGATCCATGACCTGAGCTCAGCCAAGTCAGGTTTATCTCTGTCTGTAATTTGAATCATGAGCAGGGTCTCAAGTGCAGAAAGTGCACCCTTGAGCTGTCCAGTGGCAGTGCCCAGAGAGAAGGGCCTTGGGTTCTGGCTATAGAAATCCTGTAGACAGACTGGGTCCTGTCCCTCCTGATGCTCAGTTGTCCAGCTCTTCCACCAAGTCTGTGAGATCCCCATTATCCTTCCAATTAATTCCCTACTTGTGATTAAGTTAGAATTTGTTTCTGGGCTGGGCACAGTGGCTCACGACTGTAATCCTAGCACTTTCGAAGGCCAAGGCGGGCTGATTGCCTGAGCTTAGGAGACCAGCCTGGGCAACATAGCAAAACCCCGTCTCTGCTAAAAATACAAAAAATTAGCCGGGCATGGTGGTCATACCTTGTAGTCCCAGCTACTCGGGAAGCTGAGGCAGGAGAATCGCTTGAACTCAGGAGGCAGAGGTTGCGGTGAGCCAAGATGGTGCCACTACATTCCAGCCTGGGTGACAGAGCCAGACTCTGTCTCAAAAAAAAAAAAAAAGTGCTTCTCTTATTTGTACTCAAATACAATTATTAATTATTAGCCTTAATTAATACCCAATATTTGTCACCTATGTGCTCACAAGCAGATTTCCCATCTCTTCATGACTCGACCCTTGGGGATATGATGGGATATCTGTCCACCTTTTTCAGATGACATCTCTTTATGTTATTAAGATCTTTAATCTTCTAAGTGCATGAGAAAAGCAAGACACAGTACAAAGCAGATGTTTAAGGCCAAAGAAGTGGTAAAGACCACACGCCATCCTCTGCAGGGATGTCAGGTGGACAACGGGGCCATATCCAGGAGTGATCTCTAAAGAAAGATCCCATACATCAATTTGTCAATCTATTTCACAAATAAGAATCAGGATTCTAAAATAACGCTGTCCAGTAGAATTACACTGCAGGCTACACATGTAATTTTTACTTTTCTGGAAGCCATATTAAATAATGTAAAAAGACAAGTGAAATTAATTTTAATAATATATTTTTTTAACCCAGTACATCCAAAATGTTACTGTTTCAACATGTTATCAATATAAACAATTATTAGTGAGATACATTCTTTCCATCATCCCAAGCCTCAAAATCGAATGTGTGTTTTATAGTTACTGCACATCTCAACTGGGACCAGCCGCATTTCAGATGCTCAGTGGGTACACGTGGCTAGTGAAATGACCTAATAATAGTCCCATAGACAGTTGTTTTTGGATAAACGTAGAAATTGGCCCTTCTAGTCTTAAAGTTTGAAACTTAAAGCTGTAAGTGGTTTCGGATGGTTGTACATCCCCATCTCCTCCATCATAGCATTTGTTCTTCTGAGAGTTCTTGTCCCCTCGTCTCTGCAGGTGATTCAGGTAAACCCTGACCTGGCTCCGGGCTTTGGTTCGTCCTCCTCCCAAGAGCAACTATAGGTGGAACTTGTGGCACCCACCTCCACTAGCTAGTGAAACCGACTAACAGTCCCATAGACAGTTGTTTTTGGATAAACATAGAAATTGGCCCTTGTTTGTATCTGAGTTCCTTCCTCGGGAAAGGATCCCCAGACCTCTCAGGAAGTATCAAAGAACTGAAACCACGTCACTGCATCCACACAATGAAACGTCAGGCCCTTCATTCATCATGATTGCTTCCTTACGCCTCTGGAGTTCCTGTTTTCTCAGACATAGTAACATGTCTTCCCTGCTATATAAACCCCTAATTTTAATCAATCAGAGAGATGAATTTGAGACTGAACCCCCATCTCCTTGGGTGCAGCCCCCAATTAAAGCCTTCTTCCTTGGCAATACTCATTGTCTCAGTCATCACCTTTCTATGAAGCAAGCTGCAGGACCTAGACCGAACCCCTGGTGTTTCAGTGACACTAGTAGTTAGCATGTTTGACAGCATCATTCTAGAAAGTGCTAGGAAGAAAGGAGGGTTATAACAGCAGGCACGATTTCTTGAGCCCTGCCATGTGCCAGCACGTGTCAAAGCTCCTTACATATTTCTCTCATTTGATCCCTGGAAAAGCCTTTTGAGATTCTTATTTTCTCTATGTTACAAATGAGAAAGATGACTTAGCGAGTTTAAGAAACTTGTGTGAAGTCACATTGCTAAACAAGGACAGAGGACAAAGCACATCACACACACAGTCTGTTTGACCCAAAGCAAACACTTTCTAATTGATCTCATGCTTTTCATTTGCAGATATGAGGGCATGAATTGCCTTGGACTTTTACCCTAAAGGTTGTGGATCAGGAAAGGTCCTAAACAAAGCACAGGGAAATGGCACTAATCTCACCAGTAAGGTGTGTAGCCAAAACAGCTATTCCCTGTTAAGGTAAGAGGCATCTAACATGAATTAGAGAAACAGAAACAGGTGCTAATACATTTCTCCAGCCAAAAAACTCTATGAGAAGCAATGGTGAGGTGATGAGCAAGGCGAAAACACAAGTAAAGCTCCAGTAACCAGAAAGATCAGTGGGTTTGAACATTAACAAAGGGCAGAATTGGTGATAAAAAGTATTCAAAAACTTGGAAGGTAAACATGCAATTTCAGTAAAGCCAGTGGAGGTGGGTGCCACAGCTTCACTTGTAAGTTTGCCCTTGGGAGGAGGAGGAACCGGAACCTAGAGCCAGATCAGGGCTTACCTGGATCACCTATAGAGGTAAGGGGAAGTGAGCCCTCGGAAGAACCAAAGTCACAGTGGAGGAGATGGGGATGTACCACCATCCGAAGTGTGTGTTTGAGAACATCTCTCTTCATCAGGCTTCGCACAGATTACCAGGGTAGACACGGGCACTTATAGATGCTCAGCCAAGACTGACTTAAAAAGCCAGAGTCCATAAAACAGTCCTCAGTGAAATAAGAACACCATGCTAAATCTAGTAAATGTTTACATTTTGTCTTTTATGTATTAGTGTTCACCCTTTATGAAATTATGGTAACAGTGGATAGTCATTGTTTGGGTGGCTGTGTGTGTGTGTGTATGTGTGTGTTTAAAGTCTTCACTTGGCAAATATAAAAGTCAACAACTTTATATTGGTCCTCCAGTTTTACTATTAAAACAAATTAATGGTATATAAAATTTAAGAAAACACTGCTTGCTTAAGATCCCATTTGTTTCTCTCTGACATTATTTCAAGTATTCACTCAACCCTAGCTCCATCCCCTGTGTATAAATATGCTCAAATTTCTTCAGATTAAACCAAATCAAACAAAACCTTCCATAAAACTCTCCTCCCTTCCTCTCTAGGTACACCCAAGCACTTGTTTCTTCTTTGTCGACCATTCTTTCCTCAACCCACCAGCTGTTGTTTTTTTCCCCCATTTTCCACATTGGCAGTTCAATATTAAACCGTGCAATAGTTTTTCCACCCAAGTAAAGGTGAAATAAAATTTGTTACTCAATCTCAATGTTTTCCCTTCTGGTTGAATCACTGTTCAAACAGTCTTGCTTTCTTCCTATTTAATCCCTGTGAGAAGGCACGCTATTTCAGCTACATTATGTGTTAAATGGGCGTTTGTCAGCTACCTCGGGAATGTAGACAAGTTTATATGCTTGGATATAAGAGAAAAGCTATGTTCCAAACTGGATTTCAAATAAACGTTGCTGTTAACTTTTAATTTTGACATAATTTCAGAATTACAGAATCACTACAAGAATTGTACAAAGAATTCCCATTACCTTTCACCCAGATTCCCCTGGAGTTAATATTTGATAATAAGTTGAAAACATGATGCCATTTACCCCATATAGTCAGGAGTCACAGTTCTCCATATATATACATATATGAATGAATGAAAGTGAGAAAGAAGAGTGTACAGGGAGGAGGAGAAGAAGGAAGGTAGACATATATTTTATGAAATGGGCTTATGGGATTGTGTGGGTTGGAAGGTCAGAAATCTATAGAGCAGCCTAGCAGGCTGAAAATTAAGGTAAAGGTCAATATTGCAATCTTGAGTCTGAATTCCACAGAGCAGCAGGCTGGAAATTCAAGCAGGGTTTCTATGTTGCAATTCTGAGGAGAATTCCCTCTTCCAGAAACCTCAGTCTTTGTTCTTAAAGTCTTCAGTTGATTGGATGAAGCCCACTCACATTACGGAGGGCAATCTGCTTTACTCAGAGTCTACTGAGTTAAATGTTAATCACATCTAGAAAATATCTTTCCAGCAACATCTAGTTTGGTGTTTGAGCAAACAACTGGGTGCCATAGCCTAGCCACATTGACACGTAGAATCGACCATCGCACTTCTGCAGTCCTGCAGTGTATATTTCCTTTAAAAGGACATTCTCTCTATAAGAACAGTAAAATGTGCAAAATCATAGCATTAACATCAATACAATGTTATCATCTATTATGCCAA